TACGTTAGTTACTTACGTTACGTTACGTTAGTTACGTTACGTTACGTAGTAGTAGTACGTAGTAGTAGTTAGTTAGTAGTTAGTAGTAGTAGAGTAGTACGAGGAGAGAGTAGTAGTAGTAGTAGTAGTAGAGAGAGAGAGAGAGAGAGAGAGAGAGAGAGAGAGAGAGAGAGATTGATTTTGCCGTTTGGTGCTAGTCGTGGATGATCGTTTCAGCGGTTTTGCTTTGGATTGGTCTCACTGTTGGTTAACAGAGTGGGGTCTAGGGTTTCTTGCCCAATATGTTTTTAACCTTAATAAAAATGTTGGAAAGGTTCTCTATTTCTCTGTGAATTGAATGGGATATCCACTCTATCTGGAACAAAGCACAGGGCCCAAAATACGCCCCTCGGAGTTGTCTGATGTGAAGATTAGATTTTGAAGGCCACTCCAAACATTCTCTCATTCTGCTGTTGCGTTTAATAAACTATGAATGCTAAAAATGTCAAGGGAGATTGAACAAAATTTAATTGGGATTCCTAAACCTGCCCTAAAATTATGTCCCCTGTTTATAGCATTTGGCCTTGTGCTTGACGTTATGAACGCGAAGGCTCAAGTTTGATTCTTAATACTGAACTGCCCGAAAAACAGAAAAAAAAGTGCCCACTTTATGCGGTTGCATAGAAAAGGGAGAATGTATCTTCCATGTGAAAATTTTGAGACTTTTATTCCTTGGCAACATTCCCCAAGTAGTGTACTGTATAACACCTTTGTAAGTGATGAGTTATAGAACTTGCAACTGCGCCATTCTGAAAATTTAGCATGGCCTTCAGGCATAAATGGAGGAATGCTCCTTGACTTGAAGGTTATCATTGGGAAATTAAGAAAGAGGCCAGCAATACAACCATTGAGAAACTACTGATTTATTATATCTGATTTCCACCTAGATGTAAAAAATTATGTCCTTAGGTTTCGAGTAAAGTTAGTTGATGGGTATTTTTACTCAAGGATAAGCTTTATGTGCCATATGGGGACACACTTGTCCGAGTCCATAAATCCAAACTCTTATATGAATTTCTATCTTGAAGGTATGGATCTTTATCCAAATGTTCTAGACCTATAACATTATCAGGATTTTTTTTTCCAAAAAAGAGAGTTTCAAGCCTATTTGCACTTGTTTCTATGGACCATTCATTTGAATTCTTAAAAAATCATTAAGGTTTGCTGTGTCTTCAAAGCTCCAAATTCATGGATGTGAGGTGAAAATGGATTTACAGTGACTTAGGATCAGGATCTGTTTCTGGTCTTAAAACTCCTCGAAAACCAACGCGGATGTATGACTCACCCAATTAACTCCTAATTGTGTAATCTTAGTCCAGTATTTTACAAAAGGCATCATTACAAGTGGCAATCAACACTAATTTGGCTTATAATTAGGGAAAAAATGGCAATTAGTGAGAACAAGTGCCATGTATCTTAATGCAATGGTTGAGTTGCAGAAAACTTGAGGAGCCAATCGAGATCTCGTAAAAATGTGTCCCAACACTCGAATGTAATGCTGCAAAGGAAGACGATAAATAGAAGAAAACATTGGAGGTTAACTTACTTCAAATAGCTTTTTTATCCATTTTCTTAAACTTAAAAATGTTGTTTATTTGGAATTCTGTTGCTTAGTTTGAAATTCTTCTCCAGAAAACAAATTTCCAATGAACAAGTCAGTTGTTCCCGTTTGGTTCGTGAGAAATATCTTTGAGACATGCCTCTTTACAGAATGTGAGAAATCTCTTCCACTTCACGGGGAAACGGCTTCATACCAAAGGAGATTATAAAAGCCGATTTCTTCGAAATCTTCCTCGTCAAGAGAGATTTCCTATGAGCCAAATGACTCATGCTTAAGGGCGGCAATAGACCTGGACCTGACTTGGGACCCGATGAGTAGATCCGACCTAGGTTTGGGCAAGGGTTAAAATTTGGACCCGACGGATCACGTCCAGGTCAAAATCTTGGATCCGAACACTATTCGGGTCCGGTTCTGGGTCTGAGTCTAGGTCCATATAGACCTGGCCTGAACCTGACTCGACTAGTTATGATATTCAAATAATATCTAATATATGATATTTAGGTAATATTTAAATTACTATAACTATATATTTATAGTTATAGTTATAATATATAAATAATGCATATATATTTAACATATGTATAAAATATATTTAAATATGAAAAAGGTTTTTATGCTTCCTCTACAGCATATAAGTTCTATCATCCCCCTACTATCCAGTCGTTCAATTTTGATAAAGAGAGC